GGGAGAGAGAGAGAGAGGGGGGGAGAGAGAGAGGGAGGGAGAGAGAGAGATGGAATAATCTACTCGACTACTCGTATAGAGACAGGAGGTTAATTGGATTCGTTGATGGAGGGTGAAATTGGCATTATATTTTTTTCATACCATAAAAGGGAAGTGAACAAATACACTGAGACAACCCAAATATGAATACACTGATTAACAGCTACTTAACTATTGCAAAAGAAGCGCAGATATTTAAAGAACAATTTTGCTTTATTCCATCATACCCAAAGCCAAAAATATTGAATCTTTGGCTCCATCGGAGATGATGGAAAGAGAGAGATAAACTATGCATAACAAATATTATTCTAACCAATGCAAAGGTTAATCAGTACTCTCAATGGCCTAAAGGTGTTCCTAAATCTTATTTGTGGACTACTTTATCAACTCATCTCCTCAAGTCCTATTTTGTTTACTCGAAACAGATAGCAAGGACATTTCGTGAGAAAAAAATTCCTTGTGATGTCATATGGATGGACATAGACTACATGGATGGTTTTCGGTGTTTCACATTTAACCAGGTATGTTCTTAACAGTCCAAATAAGGTGTCTACTTTATCTTTCATTTTATTGGAACTGTTGCAGGATTGGCTATGTGTACTGGTCTACTGAAATGATCAACTACTTTGTTCATTTGTCACACTGTTTTTTTACCATGGACTGCTCTCTCAGTTATGGAATATATGGTGGCATTTTTGGTTAATTTATGTCTCTTTCACGTCAAAAAATAATCTTAGATGTTTCTTTTGCTGTTTTTACGAAGTACCATAATAGTTACATATATCCTCTCCATTTTAAAGGACAGAACTTTGAACCTCTTCCACAGGGGAATAGCACTACTTATTTCACTTAGATTGTTCACTCCATCTAGTTAAATAACATATTCAGATTAGCTTTGAACTCCATGGCTGGATACCTTAGCAGCTCCACTCAGATATTTATTTTTGGTCTGGTCTCAAGGGATAGCTGCTGATATAAATCTGTTAGGTTTCATCATCCATATTCTATTATGTGACTATCCATTGTGTAGTATGTTCATATCTTTAGCTTTCTGTTTTCTAACTTGTTATTTTATTAGGAACATTTTCCTGATCCAAAATCCCTTGTGCATGATCTCCATCAAAGTGGTTTCAAAGCCATTTGGATGATTGATCCTGGCATCAAGTGCGAAAAGGGTTATTTTGTCTATGACAGTGGATGTGAAAAAGATCTTTGGATTCAAACAGCTGATGGCAAGCCTTTTGTGGGTATGCAGTTTTAACTTTTATAAACCCAAGGCCTTCATTAATGTAATGTACCCTCTCCAGTGTACATGCATATGGTTTTTAGCATGTTACTTTTATTTACTTAAATAGGTGATGTGTGGCCTGGACCTTGTGTATTTCCCGATTTCACACACTCAAATGTCCGGTCATGGTGGGCTGGTTTGATTAAAGATTTCGTCTCTAATGGTGTTGATGGAATATGGAATGATATGAACGAACCAGCTGTTTTTAAGGTTGACTGATTTGTTTTTATATAAACTGTCATTATTTTAGTGCCATAATTCCATATTCTTTTTCTGTGAATTTTCTGTTGCAGACTCTAACAAAGACAATGCCTGAGACCAATATTCATAGAGGAGATGATGAATTTGGAAGCAGACAAAATCACTTGTATTACCACAATGTACCACCAGAGATCTCTGAAATCATTGTTTTATTGGTTTCATTCTTTAATATGTTAGATTGTGAATCAATACATAGTTGTATATATTATTTAGGTAACTGAATCAAGTACCAAGCTTGTTGTAGTCTTTACTTGCTTCTATGTTTCATGTAATTACTCTGTAATATTAACTTCAATGATGCTGTGTTTTTTTGAGGTCTATGGCATGCTGATGGCCAGATCTACATTTGAAGGGATGAAGCTAGCTGATAGTAATAAGCGGCCCTTTGTTCTAACACGAGCAGGATTTATTGGTAGCCAAAAGTATGCTGCAACATGGACAGGAGATAACCTCTCCACATGGGAGCATCTTCACATGAGTATCTCCATGGTTCTGAACCTGGTAATTGAAAATGATGTGTTATTTAAAGCTTTCCAACTTTTCTATGCAATTATTCTCTAGCATGAACCAAGGTCTTGATTTTCCGAGAATCACTTTATGTTAATACAATGCTATGCATACTTTTGATCAAAATTCTTTCTGGTCTACAAACAATGTCTATTAGCCTCATAAATGTTATAATGCCAATCCTAAATTTTGAATTTTTGGATTTCAAATAACAAGTGCATGGGTTTGTAATTGAGCTTTGTTGGGAGTTAGAGGAATTAGGCCCAAAATCCAAATCCGATTCCATTTTTTTGGATTCGCAAACATGTAATTTGTGTCAAATTTGAAATAAGAATCCAAATTTAAGTTCCCAAACAGGCCATAAGAGTCTTTATCAAATGACTTGAACAAAAGCTGTTTGCCCGTTATTGCATACATGCATTGGTTGTATTCTATTCCCTGGAAAACTTGCATGGTTGCATATCTACTCAATTCCATAGCCACGCAAAAGAAAATGATATTTGTTATTTTGCACCTGAATACCCGATACAATCAGTTTACGCTTCATCTTAACTAGCTCATCTCAACTGTACTTTCTGTACATCTGTTGCTCTCTTGCTCGCTCTCTCTAAACATCTGTTCTTTCTTCTATCCATCATCAACCCACCCATCTACCTACTGTCCATCCATCATCAGCAAGACAAATTTTCTTTTTTAAATCTTCTTATATATGCTTTATGAATTGAGTTGATACTGTCTAGGAGGTCCAGTTTGCAGTTATGGGCTAGATATGCAGAACATCAAGATTGCATACTTGTGTGAACTTCAGCCTAAACTGTTTTATAATATAATATCTTTTTAATTCTTCAGGGCCTTAGTGGTCAACCACTATCTGGACCAGATATAGGAGGGTTTGCTGGCAATGCAACTCCAAAACTGTTTGGAAGGTGGATGGGCATTGGTGCCTTGTTTCCATTTTCTCGTGGGCATTCTGAAGCTGACACGACCAATCATGAACCTTGGTCCTTCGGAGAAGAGGTATGCTCTTGCTTAGTCAGCAGTTGCTTTTTCCCGCTATAGATTTTAAGATATACTGGTTTTAGAAAACAAAAATGCACAACATACCCGCTGNCAGAACATCAAGATTGCATACTTGTGTGAACTTCAGCCTAAACTGTTTTATAATATAATATCTTTTTAATTCTTCAGGGCCTTAGTGGTCAACCACTATCTGGACCAGATATAGGAGGGTTTGCTGGCAATGCAACTCCAAAACTGTTTGGAAGGTGGATGGGCATTGGTGCCTTGTTTCCATTTTCTCGTGGGCATTCTGAAGCTGACACGACCAATCATGAACCTTGGTCCTTCGGAGAAGAGGTATGCTCTTGCTTAGTCAGCAGTTGCTTTTTCCCGCTATAGATTTTAAGATATACTGGTTTTAGAAAACAAAAATGCACAACATACCCGCTGTAGTCCCACGGTTGGGGTCTAGGGTGGGTAAGATGTACACAGAACATACACATACCTCCACCCACAAGAGAAAACTAAAATGCACAATACCTGCACAAATTAATATAGTTCAATCAAGTTTGTGAAAATGACAAAATTATTTTAAAATACTAAATAAAACTTGGTAATCATAATAATACTCCCTCCGTCCACAAATAAACTTCTCGTTCACTATTCACAGGGTCAAACTTTGTTCACTTTGTTGGCCTGTTTTCGTCACCTATTTAATAAAATAATATAGTCATGTGACCTCTAGTTTTGTAGATCTTTTGATATAGTTTTTTAATATGTAATTTTTATTTTTAAATTTTACACCATTTTTCATATAAAATGATTTGAAAATAACTTCAGTCAAACATTGTAACACGCAATGGGAAGTTTATTTGTGGACGGAGGGAGTAACTATAAGTGCATGATAGTTGTGCATTGCCTATTAGCAGTCATTTTTGACAATGTTTAAGGTTTGGGTAAATAGTGGACGAAAGCAAAATGACACATTAAACTTATTTTGGATATTAAATGCAACAAATGGAAATAGTTTACCCTGCCAGACTTGGTATATTGGGTTTTGTATTGTTGTTGGTGGATGAAAAAATTGTAAAATTCATAACAATATTCAACTAATGCACACACACACACACACACACACACATATATATATAATTCAACTCTTTAACAAAAAATAATGATGAGATGAAGAAGTTGGATATAAAAAACAATGGTTGCTGTTGTTAGAAGATCTAAAATAGTAGAGAAGAAAGTTGTCGAGTAAATAAGATAAAAACCTAATGACTTACAGTTTTAGTTTGCCTAAGCTTTTTTTCTTAAAATAATAACCAACTGTTGCAAACAAAACGGTCCATCTTCGCCATAGTTATTAAAGGCAAGAGGCGGGCGAGAGGACCTTTTTTGAGGCGAGAGGCGGGCGGTCAAAAGGCGAACATACAAACATGCATGCATATGTATGTGTGTATATATATGTATGTATAAATGTATATATATATGTTGCAAACTTGCAATATGTATGTATGTATAAACACACAATATAGATAAAATATATATTACGGAGTAATGTACAGCAATACATATTATGTATTGCATATTCTAAAGCCTTAAACACTACATAAATGTCAGAGGAAAACAAAACATTCATAAAGTACCGAAAGGCGAGCTAGGCGATCGCCTGAGGCAGGGATTGAGGCGAGAAAAGCGAGAAAGGCGACCGCCTAAGGTAGGGATCTCACCTTGCAGGCTTTCTTGAAGCGCTCAGAGCTTGCCTCGTTTGAGGCGCCATAGGCAAGAGAGGTGAGCGCCTTTAACAACTATGATCTTTGCATATTCCCATTGAGGCATGCACCTAGACGTAGGGGTGGACACAATCAAGTACTGGTCCGGTTACGGTTCCAAAACCGGTGGTTCCTGGTTCCTACAATGGAGGAATTGGAACCTCTTCTGACGGTATGATTCCAGCCCGGTTCCACCAACAGTTTTGGTTTCAATCCGTTTATTATTTTTTAAAAATAAATGTACTTAAAAAAATACAATTAGATATTGGGTCAAACAAAAAATGCATTCCTCCTCGCAAATTAGTTTTCTATTAAATTATAGATACATCTAAACAAAAAAAATAAAATAGAACTGAGAACGGGAATAGCTGAATCTGGTTCCAAAAATATAGGAACAGGAACCGCACTCCCCATGTTCATGTCTGGTTCTCCAATTTATTGGTTTTGAATCTGGTATAGTTTCGAAACCATGGGTAAAGTTTCTGCCTTCTGGCAAGGTTCAAAAAGCGCCAGTTCCAGTAGAACCATGTCCACCCTAGGCATAAGCCTAACCTGTGTGAGGCGTAATCTTTTCAGCACATGGAGAAGCAAAAGCCTCTAGGCAATTTTCAATAGCTTTGCCTTGAGGGGGAAGCTCAAGCCTTGTGCAGATATTGGAATGAGTTTGACTTTTCATGCATATCATTACATGGCCTCCTTTACAGGATTTCCATAACTTAGTGACTTACTGAAGAAGTTTTAGAATATTTTCAATATGTTTATCAAATAGCAAGTCATAAATGATTCATATGGGTATGTTTTTTTCAGCCACCTTTATGTTTCCCTTTTTTGAAGGGGTTCAAATATTTAATATTTTACTTGAGTAACTCTATTTGGTTATTAAGTTTCACACAATTGCATACAATGTTCATACCATTGAAATTTCCAGTTCTCAAAGTTTTTTCTCCTGAAATGTTAGAAGTTAGAATGATCAGAAGTATGGGTAGAAGAGAGAAATGTTATTTATTAGCATTGTTTTCCTAACTAAGAGGTTTCTAATACTCACAATGTCTTAACTGTCTATATTAAGAATGGTTGGACTTCATCTTTGGACAGTGTGAGGAAGTTTGCCGCCTTGCATTGATGAGACGTTATCGTCTTTTACCACACATATATACTCTCTTTTATATGGCACATACAAGAGGCACTCCTGTGGCTACACCGACATTTTTTGCTGGTATGCTCCCATGTTATCGAAATTAAAAATTTCTTTTCTTGATAAACTGACATAAACCAGTTTTGAAGGAGGGCGTTTTGAAATTTGAACAATAAACTTTCTTTCATTTGAAGTTGGTTTTGGCCATATAAGTTGTATTTGTCCATATAAGTTGTTTACGGTATAAGATAAATAATAGTTCTCCCTTCGTCCTAATTAAATTTACATATTTAAAAACTACAAAAGTCCTACAAAACATTGTTAGACAGGACCAGAACAAAGCAAAACAGAATATTTTATTGATGTAAAACTGTACAGGATTATTTGTGTTCTCTAAATATAATAGAGAACAGACCAACATGACTTTTACTAACCAACACAACTATTACAAACCAACACACCTATTAACAATAGAAACTACCCACAACTGCCTTTTAGAAACTACCCACTGCTTTTTTAATTAATTAAATATGTAAAACACACTAAACGACACCACACTAATTAACTCTATACTAACTGACCCGAACATTGACTCATTACCCATTCGGTTATATGTGAACAAACC